GGTAGCTGGAGAGAGAGGCAAGGAGAAAAACACAGAGGCCAGGGGTCTGGAGGAAAGATGGGGTTGGGCTGCTGAGTTTCTTGCCAATGTGGGAGGGCTCAAAGTCATGCGTGGGAACCAGAGGGGAGCACTTCCTTGAGCCTGGGATCCCCAGACCCTCCCCAGGGGAAGATGCACCCCGCTCCTCGGGAAGGCTGGCCCAACCCCCACCTGACCCTGGTCCCCCAAACCAGACTCCGGGTTTCTCCTGTGAACTCAGTCCCTACCAACACTGCCAGCCCCTGCACAGGAGTTGGCATTTATAGCCTGGCTGCTCAGACAAGACTTGCCCACAGGAAATAACTAGAGAACAACACAAGACAACTCACAGTATAAGAACCGGCTGGAAGACCACCAAGTGCTAAATGTGCATTTCAAGGAAGTGTGACAGGAAGCCGGTGAAGACAGACACCATTGCTGACTGGTTTTTCAGGAAAAGCTTTATGGAGCAGGTGGGACTTGCACTGGGCTCTGAAGGAGATGGAGGCTCCAGGAATGGGAGGAAGGATCCAGGTGGGGGATTCCTGTGGACCGAGGCAGAGTGACCCAGGACCGCAGGCCTGTCGGGCAGGTAGGTGGGTGGAGGGTGTCTTCCTTGGCCATGAAATTCCCTCCAAGAGCCCTCCTTGTTGGAAAGGCATCTGCTGCCTCTCTTCTGCTTCTCTCTAGAAGGAACGGTGTGGGGTCCTTTGCAAAACCCACTGTGAGGTCCTGCCGAGGACCATGCTGGAGGTGGTGGGGGAAAGCTGAGCTAGCATGGAAACTCAGCCTCCATGGTGCCTCCAAGGGCAAAATTAGGGCCTCGGAAAAGCATCACTCTGAGCTGCTGGCAGCCACTCTGAAGAGCTGATCCATTTGGAGATTGTCGCTCTGCCTTAGTTTTAAGGTACCAGAGTCAGGCAAGAGGCCCCAGGTGGCCCTGCCAGGCTCTGCCCGGATGCTATAATACCAGAGGATTGCACCGGGACATGTCTAAGGGGGTCAGGGTCCCTCAGCATCCCGTCTCCCAACCTGCTCAGCACAAAGGGGGACCCTAAGGTCCAGAAGAAAAACGGTATTGCTCAGGAAGTGAGTCAGCAGGTGGGCAAGGAGTCCAGCCCAGCCCCTTCAATACTAGAGAAGCAGGTGGCGGGTGACAGATTTATCTGGCATGGTGGTCACTGGTCTATGCAGAGGATGGAAGGCCAAAGGTCACATTGCTCAGGTTATACCAAAGGGCTCATAATTTTTATTTCTATTCATTTTGCATCCTGATGAAAATATTTTGTGTGTTTTATTTTTACACTGCCATGACATGAACAGAACCATGACTTGTGTTTCACAATTTACACAGTGATTTCACATGCATGTGAGAGCTGCAGCGTGTGCCCTGTTGCTGTGTTTTTTCCCATCTGGATAGATGGAGGGGCGTTGTGTTGGGGCTCTCCGAAACTGTGGTCCTCCAATGTCATGTCTATGCAGTGCTCACTCTCCTACCCACCTCCCTGCCCACTGAAGGGCAGGAAATCATAGAGGCTAAGCCCCATTCTCATATAGTCCCTGTCCCTTCCCTTGGGGCACCAGGAAGAAATAAACCAGCTGTGCTCAGGAGCCCCCAGGAACAGAACAGTGGATACTCCCCTCGGCCACACGAATACATCCTCTTCCAAACCTCCTTGGGGAGGTAGAAGACCCTGAGGGATGCGTGGGAAGGCGCCAGATGACTCAAGACAGAAAGAAGAGCTTGTCAAAAGTGGCCTAGGAAGTGGGGGAGGGTGGAAGAGAATGTAGGAGCCCAGTGCATAATGTTATGTTTTAAACCACATGCCTTTCTCCAGGCCGGGTTATTAAATTAATTCAGAACTTATGCTCACACTTAAAAGATTTCTGTCATATTTTATGAACATGATGATCTCAGAGTAATTTGCACTGGAAATGTGTCATATTAAATCAGGGGCACTAATAAACTTTATTACTTGAACTCCACATGGATCAGATGTGGCAGATAAACCATCTCACTTTTGCATTCATATTCTTGTCATTGAAATATGGCTCCTCCTATGGGAAATAAATAACCTTGATAATAATCCCTCTGCCCCTCCATAAATGTGCCCATCTGAACTGGAGTCATCACCTGCCCGTCCTACTCTCCCCCGGAAGTTGGTCATGGCAGTGAAGCAGGTTGACCCAACAGAGATATTTCTTTGGGATTTTAAAATGCTTTGACTTCACAGCTTTATCACCTCCCATTCACACTGGCATGGCCTTTAAGCTGGACTGTGTGTATCAGGCAAGAGGCCCCAGGTGGCCCTGCCAGGCTCTGCCCGGATGCTATAATACCAGAGGATTGCACCGGGACATGTCTAAGGGGGTCAGGGTCCCTCAGCATCCCGTCTCCCAACCTGCTCAGCACAAAGGGGGACCCTAAGGTCCAGAAGAAAAACGGTATTGCTCAGGAAGTGAGTCAGCAGGTGGGCAAGGAGTCCAGCCCAGCCCCTTCAATACTAGAGAAGCAGGTGGCGGGTGACAGATTTATCTGGCATGGTGGTCACTGGTCTATGCAGAGGATGGAAGGCCAAAGGTCACATTGCTCAGGTTATACCAAAGGGCTCATAATTTTTATTTCTATTCATTTTGCATCCTGATGAAAATATTTTGTGTGTTTTATTTTTACACTGCCATGACATGAACAGAACCATGACTTGTGTTTCACAATTTACACAGTGATTTCACATGCATGTGAGAGCTGCAGCGTGTGCCCTGTTGCTGTGTTTTTTCCCATCTGGATAGATGGAGGGGCGTTGTGTTGGGGCTCTCCGAAACTGTGGTCCTCCAATGTCATGTCTATGCAGTGCTCACTCTCCTACCCACCTCCCTGCCCACTGAAGGGCAGGAAATCATAGAGGCTAAGCCCCATTCTCATATAGTCCCTGTCCCTTCCCTTGGGGCACCAGGAAGAAATAAACCAGCTGTGCTCAGGAGCCCCCAGGAACAGAACAGTGGATACTCCCCTCGGCCACACGAATACATCCTCTTCCAAACCTCCTTGGGGAGGTAGAAGACCCTGAGGGATGCGTGGGAAGGCGCCAGATGACTCAAGACAGAAAGAAGAGCTTGTCAAAAGTGGCCTAGGAAGTGGGGGAGGGTGGAAGAGAATGTAGGAGCCCAGTGCATAATGTTATGTTTTAAACCACATGCCTTTCTCCAGGCCGGGTTATTAAATTAATTCAGAACTTATGCTCACACTTAAAAGATTTCTGTCATATTTTATGAACATGATGATCTCAGAGTAATTTGCACTGGAAATGTGTCATATTAAATCAGGGGCACTAATAAACTTTATTACTTGAACTCCACATGGATCAGATGTGGCAGATAAACCATCTCACTTTTGCATTCATATTCTTGTCATTGAAATATGGCTCCTCCTATGGGAAATAAATAACCTTGATAATAATCCCTCTGCCCCTCCATAAATGTGCCCATCTGAACTGGAGTCATCACCTGCCTGTCCTACTCTCCCCCGGAAGTTGGTCATGGCAGTGAAGCAGGTTGACCCAACAGAGATATTTCTTTGGGATTTTAAAATGCTTTGACTTCACAGCTTTATCACCTCCCATTCACACTGGCATGGCCTTTAAGCTGGACTGTGTGTAACTGCTAAGAATTGTTTTACAGATACAAGTGTGGTATAAAAATTACGGATGGTAAGTCATGACACTGAGTTCTTCTGGTTCCGCTACCAGCTGGCTCTGTGATCTGAGCACAAATCAGAGAGGGCAGTGTGATAGAAAGAGCAAAGGCACTGGGATCAGAGCTTTATTTCCATTTAACAGATGTTTTTTGAAATCCTAACCCAATCCAGGCCCTGTGTAAGGCTCTAGAGATACCAGAATGAATAAGAATTCAATTAGCATCCCAATAGGATTGTTTAGGAAACTAAATTAAATCATTATAAAATATATACAGATCTGTGCAATTCTATAGAAATACTTTGTGATTTTTTTCAGATCCATATAAAAGAATTAACATCTGAGAATAGCCAAGAAATTTCAGGATAGTGAGAAGGGACTTGCCTTGCCAGGTATCACATACAAAGCCAATGTATTCAAAATGGTGTGGTGTTGGCAAGCTTGTATGCAGACTTTGGGCCAATACACCTGTGGACGTGAGAGTCAGGGTAGAGGGAAAGGAAGTGATAGGAAGTCTGTACTCAGCACATGGACTTCCCCAGAGTCCTCACCAACACAAGCAACCAAGCTTCTTGACTCCTCAAGGAAACTGGGAGTCTTTTCACAAGTATTTCTATAGAATTGTACAGATCTGTATATATTTTATAATGATTTAATTTAGTTTCCTAAACAATCCTATCAAGATGCTAATTGAATTCTTATTCATTCTTGTATCTCTAGGGCCTTACACAGGGCCTGGATCAGGTTAGGATTTCAAAAAACATCTGTTAAATGGAAATAAACCCTGACATATATGGTCAAATGATTTTTTATAAGGATGCCAAGACCATTCAACAGTCTTCAACAAATGTTGTGAAAACTGGATATCCACATACAAAAGAATGAAGTTGGACCCTTACCTTACACTTGATAGAGGATTGATATTCAGAATATATAAAGAACTCCTACAACTCAACAACAAAGAAACAAATAACCCTATTTAAAAACAGGCAAAAGGACCTGAATAGACATTTCCCGAAAGAAGACATACAAATAGCCAATAAATGTGGGAAATGATACTCAACATCACTGATAATTGGAGAAATGCAAATGAAAACCACAATGAGATACCACTTCACACCTATTAGGATGGCTATTATAAAATAAAAGTTTTTTAAAAAACAGAAAGTAACAAATGTTGACAAGGACATGGAGAAACTGGAACCTTGTGCATTGCTGGTGGGAATGTAAGAGTGCAGCTGCCCTGGAAAATGGTATGATGATTCCTCAAAAAATTAAACATAAAATTACCATGTGATCCAGTAAGTTGGGTGTGCTGCTCAGTTCCTATCCAAGAAGACATAAAGCCAGGATGGATCCAGGGTTCCTCTTCCTGCACTGGGAAGGTCACAGTAAGAATAACCGGGGAAAAAAATCTCAGGTGCTGTTCTTCAACCTCCTGAACACCCGAGGAAAGTGAAGTTAGTCCTGGGGAGAGGGACAGTGTTTCTCCTCACATTCCTGCTGCCAATTTGCAACCTAAAGAAGAAAGTAAATGCAAGTCAGTGTCACAAAGTAATGGTCAGAGGAAAGGAGGGTGCACGTGTGCAGGTAAGCCCATATACAGAAACAGACCCACTGGAATGTGAGACATATAATACAGTTTCACCACGATTATGTTACGTATTTTTAATTATAGGGAAATGATAAGAAGGCAATACACTCAGTGCTGCTTTTGGTTGTTTGTTCATTTTAAACGAGGAAATGAAATTTACTTAAAAGAAAAAAACCTTCCCTTTTAACATGGCTTGGCCCACATGCAAATGGGAGACAGCATCTGTACAGAGAAATTCTGTTTAGCTGTAAAGGTAAATGCTTAATTCAAGTTTTTTTGGGTAAAGAAATCAATCCTATTATAAGCAAGATTCTTAAAAGATAAAAGCAGTCTAGAGTGTGAATCTCAAAATTTGCAATGTTATTGAAAGAGCTCGCGTATTTAAAAAAGAAGAGAACAAGTTAAAGACACTTTCACTGGGTTAAAACAAAAACTTGTACTAGCTTCATTCATTAGCGTGAAATTAACGTCCTCTAATACAACCAGGGCCACACGTTGTTAAGTATGCAATGACACGAGGAAGCCCGAGAACACAGATGCAAACTTTGTGCAAATGAAAACCTACATAGCACAGGTCCCCAAAGATACTTATTCTGCTTGTATTTCCAGAGTGGCCAGTTCCATAATGAGATTAGCCAAATATTTATAGAATTTCTACTCTCAGATTATGCTTCACAGACATAACAAACAGCGTGATTTATTTGTATGGAAAAGGTCATTTAAAGCAAATGTAAAAAGACTCTGCCCCTTACAAGCTTGTCAACCTATGAATACACCAGTTTAGGCGCGTTTAAGATATGGAGGATAATTCTTATCTTTCAGGACTGTCTTGAGAATTAAATGATGTGGTGTCTGGTAAAGCCCTTGCCACAAAGAAGCCACCCAGTAAACAGTGTATCTTTTTCCTTTCGTTCCACATCTCACCCACTGGGCACCACCCAGCACACCCTCACACAGTTACACACACACACACACACTTTACATGTCTTATTCTGAGCAGCTTTGCTGACATTTCCCATGGAAATAAAAGGAACCATTTTCAAGAAGAAAAGGCTGAGCTGCGCGCAAGATTAAGACCGTAAAGGGCAGTTCTGCTCTCAGAAAAGAAGAACTGGTTTTGGAAGCAACAAAGAGTCACCTTATTTCCCTGCTCTCCCCGTGTTCCGACAGGAATAAGGTTAGACACCTGAGCACCCAAATCTGCCTGGCTAGGAATCTGCTGAATGAAAGGCAGAGCCTGGTCAAGTTGGCTGATGATGAGGTCAAGGTTGCATATTCCAGCCCCATAAGGAGATTTATCCTGGCAACCATCCTCTTCCTGGCCCTGCCCACTCGTGGAGGTTTCGCACTGGGTGGAGGAGCTCTGCCTGGGGATTGGAAGGAGGAAAGGCTCGATGCAATCTCCTCCTATCATCAGAAAAAAAGAAACTCAAAACATCAGCCCTATTGACAGTGAGGCCAGATGTCCTTTACAAATATCAATATCTGAGCAAGGCTGGAAACCAGGTCTCTGGAGTATAAAGGAGAAGTGCATTACTCAGAGAAAATATTTGGCTGTTATAATAAAAGTCAAAACAACAGTGGTTTAAACATGATAGTTTATTTCTCTCTCACCAAAGAATCAAAGCATAAATAATCCAGGGCAATGAGGCAGCTCCATAGCATCAGGAATCCTTCTAGTATATGGTCCTGACAACCTCAACCAGGGCTTCTGTTTTGTAATCTAAGATGAATACGATGTGTCCACCGTTCTGTATTCAGTGCAGCCAGAAGGGGGAAGAGCAGAGGCCAGACACCATCCTGACTTCCATTTAAAGGTACAATGAGAGATTTTGCATGTTTCTTGAGCTCACATCCCATTGGCTAAAACATGGTAGCAAGGAACTTGGGTACTTGGCTGCAAGGAAGGCTGGGAGATGTAGTCTTATTTTGGGTGACCATGTGCCTAGCACAATTTGGGGGTTGGAGGCAAATTGTTTTCCTAGGGCTGCCATTACAAAACACCACCAGCTGGGTGGCTTAAAACAACAAAGATTTATTCTCTCCAAGTTCAAGAAGCCAAATGATTCCTTTCGGAAGCTCTGAGAGAGAAGCCATCCAATGCCTCTTCCCTGACTGCTGGTGGCTGCTGGTGGCTGCTGGTGGCTGCTGGCGGCTTGGTGTTCTTGGCACTCCAATCTCTGACACCATTGCCACATGGCCACTGTATCTCTGGATCCAAATCTTCTTTTCCTTCCTCTTATGAATACCCATCTTTTTAACTTGAGGTCATTGCAGTATTTCTGAATAAAGTTGTATGCACAGGTACTGGGGGTTAGGACATACTTATTTGGAAGATACACTTCAACCACACAGGGGATTTACTGCTGAAGGAAGAAGAGGAACCTAAATCCTGAACAGCACCCCAGTCAGAGGACACCAAGAACCTGTACTCTGAAACATCGTCACTACACCAGAACTCACATTCCTGTTGCAGAAGTGAACCCAACCAACCTTCTTCCTCTGTAGACCCTTCATCTTCTAGGCAGATCACAGGCCCTGTGTCCCCCAGACCCATCCACACTGCTCACACAGATCTAGCCCTGGGAATGCCCTCCACACCCCTTCCCCCAGCCAAGCCCTGCCTCAGGGGTTGGCTGCTCCCAAAGGCTTTTTCCTCCACCTTAGCTGACAATGGCTAACAGCTGCCCCCCTGGGGAGAAGGGCCACATTATGACTTTTGTGGGACCTAGACAGTTTGCCTTCATGAACCCTTTTCTCTATGAAAAAAAAAACTATTAAAAGTTTAATTTAAATGTTTACACAAAAATATTTTATGACTGCATTGGTATAAAGATGAATGTAAATGTTTACACAAAAATATTTTATGACTGCATTGGTATAAAGATGAATGTCTCAGTATCATATATAACATTTTCTTTGACCAAAGAGATTTTTTTTTCTTGTCATTTAGAAGAAAGTAAAACAATTTCATGAGTCCTGAAAAGCATCATGGACTCTAGGCACTGTCCTCCTTGCTAACTAGTAAGTCACCCTGCTGGAGAGGATGCTCAAAGAGACAGCAGAAAGAGCAGCCAGCCACCAGATCTGACGCCAGACTTCTGACCGGGGACCTGGGAGGCACTAGCCAGTACCTCCCCCTGCCCTCTAATAGACTGTACACTCTTTATTTGCTCTCACTACAATTTAGGAACATGCCATAAGGCACCAACTGACTCATTGTTAGTTCAGCCAGTTCTCAGGGGTAGAAACAAACATTCTCACTCCACTGGCGTTTCCACCACACGACTTAAAACACAACAAGACTTGAAGAAGAGTGTCTGCCTCACACAACATAGCAGATACAAAGCCTTTATAAAAGCATGAGAGAAACTGCCCGCTCTTCAATGTCAGGAATTGTTCAATCCTGCCCCATAAATCTGACTAATCCCCAGATACATTTCATTCCATACTAGTCTTTTTATAACATGTATATTTCAAATCTATTATTTCCTGGTGCATTTAGTTTCAACTCATAAACTGATCTGTAAAACACATTTGATGAGGTGACTGACGCATGCTAGTTTGCCCAGAACCTTCGTGGTCTGGACACTGGCACTCGTGTATCCTGGAAAACTCTTCCGTCCCAGGCAAACTAGGACACTTGGTCAATCCATAATGATATCTAAGATTCACCACCCTTTGCCAACATTGATGTGTCTAATCCAACAACATGAAACACACTGAAAAAAATTTTAAGTAACAATTTGTAGTTCCGGAAAGTTCAGGTAGGGTCCAATCTACAGCTCAGCAAGATGCTTGCGGGCACTAAATGTGGCTAGACCTTCACAGCAACTTTAGTGCAGAAAGGAATTGCTGTGAGTCAGCGCCTTCTTCTCTGGGCTCCCTGGATCAGTCTCCTCCATAAATATTTTAGATGAATTGCCAAAGGAGAAAAAGGATTCAGGCAGCAGTTCTCAAACCACAGTGCACTTAAGAATAACATGAAGAGCTTGTTAAAAACATGCCTTCCCCCCAGGAAGTTTAACTTGGGAGAGTCCAAAACACAGTCTATTTAACAAGAACTCCTAAGTCATGTGGTTGGTGGACCATACTTGTCCAAACACTGGGGTAGGAGGAAGCTGTGAGAGCTGCTTCCCCTTTGTAAAGAGTGAAGCAAAGCCGGGCAGAAATGCAGGGGGTTGGGAGGTGCAGGGGACACTTAGTGGCTGGGCTGCTGTTATCTGAAAAGCACTTTCTTGTAAATCTGGAGATTCCTGGAATACCTAAAGCAAAGCGTATCTGAAATAATCAAGAGAATCATGCTCTGCATACACATACATGCTGTGTAGCACATGGATCTACATAGTCATAATGTATACATAAATAATGGCATAAATGAGATGACAATCATTGCAATGACAGTATACAACAGGCACCCAATAAGTGTTTATTCATTTATATGCCATGGTGGTGGGTTTAACACATAGATATTATTAAGTCAGTAGTCCTGTTATGACCATGTTAAATCTGATCTTATGATAGCCAAAAAGATATGACAAGCAGGCAGTTGGATATGGGAATGTTCAGCTCCAGGATTTGGTCAGGGGTCAGGTTAGGGCTAGAGATACAGGTTTAGGGAGTGATTCACATAAAGCCTCCAGGGCTTCAATAAAACATAAGCCATAGGGGCTGGGTTTTAATGCCGAGTCAAGGTTAAAGGCCCTGTGGCCTCATAAGCATGAGCCAGGCTCCCTACATGAAAGGAGAAATCAGCAGAGCTTAGGTTATCCATAAACATAAATCAGAATGTCTGTCCAGCTCAAGATATAGTTCAACGGCCATGTGTGGAAACCCTTTGCCACTTAAGGTAAAAACCCTTCTTCATGATCTTCGTACAGAAACTCATAGGCCCCAGGGAAAGGTAATCCCAGGACTGTCCCGT